AAAATTTAAGACTTATCCAAATAAATTAAAAATACTTCAGCTAATTGTATTTTTTTATATAACTTTTAGAATTTCTAAACTTTGAAAAATAAATGAAGGTAAAAAAAATATTTGTCATCATGTGCCTAAAATCATTTAAGCCCAATTAAAATGTTCTTTTCACAAACAACGCAAAAAGCATTACGGCGAAAACACAAAAGTATCCTTGTTTAGGCAGGAAGCAGCTTAGATACAAAAACAGTCCTGCGTTCAGATACAAAAACGAAAACAACTTGTCTTACATTTGTTTGCCGTTGGTATTTTGTCTTTGCTGCGTGTACATTGGTATTTACCGACGAATCCATCTATCTGTCAGTAAAACGTATTTACAGAAATATTAACAAAAGCCTCACACAAATACGCACGCCTCCGTTCAAATGAAATGGAAAATGTTAATACAATAAAATAAAAAATAAATTTTATAATATACTATACTCACTCACACTCATATACACATACTTACATACATACTTCTGTATGTATATAACTTAAACAATTTTGTGTATAGATTCATTCCGTGGAACTCAATGTCTTTTCTCATTTCCCTCAATGTTTTCATCGGTGCTCACACTGACATTTGCAAATGGCGTTGCCAGCCGGAAATGCTCATGTGAAATTCCTATTATAAATTCAAGCTCAAGCTCCTCGCACACCCATTCACACACACGTATATATAAAATGTAGGTTCATAAGCTCGAAACGTGTTGTGACTTTCCTTTTTACAGTGTAACGCGCTTTGGATTTATTGTGTTTGTTATTTCTGCTGCTAGTGTTTTGATCCGTTGCAATTCCATGCGACATAGGTTCTTTTATTAGCTCTTAACGATGAGCTACATTTAAGTGACACAATGTTAGTACAATAAATTATTATAAAAACAAAAGTTGTAGGAAATATAAAGATATGGGAGTAATTTATTTATTTACATTAAGATTGTTTATAAAGACGTATTTTCAGATACTTTGTCTTATCTTTATTCGATGCTTTTAGTATAGTTGGTTGAAATTCTTTCACTCAATTTCTATGCATATGTTTAAGTGCAGTTAATTGGCACATTGGTTGTTGTTTTTTTTAATCTATGAACATATAAACAAGCGCTGTAAACTTTGTGATCTTATAATTTAATCAGAACATTTAAAAGAGGATTCACTTTTGAGTTAATTAATGTAGTAAATAAATAGATATTGAAATAACACTCCTAGAAAGGAGAAGGTCAAAAAGCTGATAAATACTTACAATTAGTCAGGTCTTTATTCCCAGTATCACAGAGCTGAAACTATTGGTAAGTAAGCCATTGTGCCATTATACCCTGCGTTACCATCTGAACAAGTAGGGTTAATCTGAGGAAAACACATATCGATTCTGTTTAGTATGTGATGAATGTCTAGTCATTCTTTAGGAGCAGTATACCTACCAAAACTAAAAACCTTTTGAAATTAAGAAGTCTAAACACCATCCAGATCTGATCTAGATTAGGACGAATTCCAATCACTATTTGATATCAGAAAATTCTTAAACAGAAATATGTCAGCCTTCGTTTGAATAACTGAGTGTTCTCTGTTCGGTGAGAATCGGTAAATTACGGTAAATTACTGAGTCCGGTTCTTATTGAGACTAATGGAAGAATACTCGGCAGATATTTTCTAACGCTGTTTGATATTAGAAAATCTTTAATTAGATACATAACGCTCTTTATTTCAATAGCTGAGTATATTCTGTTCATTTAGAATTGCTTAGTAATATTAGAGATCAACCGAGATTGCAGTAAACTGTTGTGAAGTTGCTGAATTCGGTTCTAGTCTTGGTCAAGAGGAAAATACTTTGCAAGAAGTTTCCTTCACCGTTTGATATTAGAAATTCTTCAATGCGAGCCGTTTCAGTCATCAGTCAAATGGCTGAGTTTTCTCTCTTCGCTTAGGATCGGTTTTGTATAACAAAAAATCAACCACAGTTGCAATGTTGTGAAATAGTCTAGGAGGAGAATACTCTGTAGGACGTTTCTATTGCAATTTGACTTAAGAAGTTTGACTTCATAAGAGATATTATGCCCTCTATTTCAATAGGTAAGTGTTCTCTGTTGAACTAGGTTTGTTTAATAGTATAAAGGAAAAATTGAGATTGCCATCAGTCGAATAGCTAAGTATTCTCTCTTCAGTTAGAATCGATTTGTATTATAAATGATCAGCTATAGTTGGAGGGTTCTGTTCTAGTCCAGAAAGAGAATATTCAGCCGGAAGTTTCTACTACCATTTAACATTAGAACTAGATATTTCTTAGTAAGAACTATTTCGGTTTTTATTCCAATAGCTATTCCATTATAATTTCATTACAATTTTATTCTACTCCATTCTTATTTAATTCGAAATTTTTTAGTGATTTAAGATTTTTTTATTAAATTCATATATTTATAAAGGAAAATAGAAACGTGTAATGTGTGTTATACACATATATATTAAGTGTTATAAATAGCGTTCCAACTTCGATTTGTGTGTAAAGAGTAATGTCTTCACATCAATCTTTCTTTGCACTCTGTGCTACTTTCTAGTCATCCAAAAGTTGTTGGTTAGCCTATTCTTATTGCTTCTTCTACATATAGGAAATATGACGATGTCATTATATATGTACTATTCTACATATTGGCATCATTATATGTAAAATTTATATTTACCCATATTAAAATAAAATGTTTGTTAAACAACTATTTAATGTTTAAGCAGAAATAATGCTTAAGTTAAATGGGAAAGTATTTCTTCTTACCATGTAATTTCCATTTGTATAAAAAATTCTTCCAAGTTTTCTTGGATTCAATATTGCTGGTAGAATGTCAAACAAATCCAGAATAAACAAAAAATTTAATCCCTACGTATTCGTGTATGATGACTTATGTAAGCTTACATCACATCAACGTATCAACGTACTGTGAAATTTGTGAATTGCAGAACCCAGAATCCTGCGATGCAACAGTTTGCTGGTTTCTGTGACGGAAAATGTGTCCCTTTGGATTATGACTTGTTTGTTTGTGGAATTAGTTACAAATCCTTCTACGGTTCGGAGAGTTTCAAATGTGAAATACAAAAACTAAAAAAAAGAACAAAAATAAAAATAACAAATGAAACCACATGAAAAATGGATGCAATCTTTTTCAAGATTTTAAATTTAACGTCTTTTAATAAAAACTTTAAAGCTCTTTTTGTAACTCAAATTATTTTAAATGAGCGTGGAATATGCATTCTTGCCATATTATTGAAGTATTAAAGTGAAATAAAGTTTTGTAATAAACATCAAAAGTAAGAAATTTATTTGTCTCTGAATTCTCAATAAAAGCGGATCCTTTGAATAATTTGTAGAAATGACACATCAGAACAGAGAATAAAAAAAACATTACATATGATAATAAACGAGTGCCTCCATAACAGGAAGTTGACAAACTTTTATGACACTAAGCTTAGACATCCGTTACGTCGGACATCCTTTTAGTGTTTTTTTGTTTTTTTTTGAATATAAAATCCTTACAATGTCATTTTTTTCTTACTGCGAATGCTAAAGCTCAGACTTAAAATTTATGGTCATTTCAATTTTATTTGCAAATACGTGCTGAGCCTTAATGCAAGGACTCAACGTACAGGATTTTGCAAATTTTAAATTGAAAATAAATTTTATGTATTTTGTGGTTTTTGAATGTATGAACATTGGTTGAAACTTAAATGATACTTCAATAATTTATAATACATTAACTACAAAAATTTGCAATAAATAAATGTATTAAAATTTAATCATAATATTAGAAAACGTTTAGGGAAAAGTTGTCAAAAAAATTATTTATATATAAAAGAAATAGTATGTATAAAATGGAATGAAATTACATCTCATGACTATTACTTTTTAGTGGTTATTTCTGAAATTTTAGTAGTGTTCATTAAAACTACTTCGTTAAAAATATGATTATATTCCATTAAAATATAAATTGTTTATGCCTTTGGACAACGCAGTCTGGAAAACCAATTTTTAAATAATTAAAACAGCATAACGCACATAACTCTTCCTATATTATCATTTAAATGATCCATCTCACCACAGAAAATGATTCAGTGTACTAACATAACATAAATAGAAACCAGTTCAAGGGACTGCTACACTATCTCCAGACTCAACTAATAAAAATAACAAATTTGATTCATATTTAACAAGTTTTGTATTGTATACTAGATATGTTTTAAGTATTGGGAAACTGTTTCCAACTTCTGTCATTACAGGACCATTAGGTTAAATTATATACATACCCAATATTTTCCGATATATTTGTGTCTCACTTCGTCTAATATGCTGCACTGTATTGCCAAAACCAAAGCTGGTGTTAATCTCTCCTTCGCTCCATCTGTAAGTGAATTTCTAGATGGTAAATTCAGAGCTACCTGTCACGAATTCTGATTCTTAGTTTTCTCTGCTAGAGGGAAGAGTACGATTTCTAGTTTGGAAATCTAGCATTGATGTTTTGCAATTTATTGGTAATTCAGTCTTTGTCAAATGACGACTCTTCATTTTTCTTTCATCCAAAACTGTGTGGTGCCCGTAATTGGCTGCTCTCCAGTTCCTAGACTCACGTAGTCTAAGAGCATTTTTAGCAACACAGCCTTAAACAAAAATCCATAGTGGTGAAATAATATTTTTAGGTCTACTTGACGAGCACTACCGACTTTTTCAGAATACCTACATCTACCAATTTCTTTACTTTCTGAATATGAGACTGAAACTTAAAAAAAAACAAATGACAAAGATTAATTATACAAATTTCATATATTTTTGAGTATCTTAAGAATTAATATTTTTACTTAAACTAAATATTTAATATTCTAATAAATATATCTAACAAAAAAAATTTTAAGAGGCTACTTTAAATCGTTTTTTTATTCTAACAAAAGAATTTCATTTTGCTTTAAATATATTTTAAGTCTTCAACTAAACGTAAATAACAAATAAATCATAATATTATTTCAACTTTATTTTATCACATCGCTAGTATAAAAACTAGCAGTTATTTAATCACTGATCGACTATCACTGATCCCATAACTATGTTATTTCTTTATATTCCGCTTCTTGTAGTTACTTCCAAAGGGTCCAATATCAGCTGCTTTAGCCATTAACATTGGTATATTAGTTTGTACATAATTTCCGCTAAAGTAATGAGCATATGGGCCTTTCGCAAAGATACCTACATCATCTGCACCATGTGTTTCACTCTCTAGTGGTGCCGTTGCCATATATTTACGTGTAGGATTAGTAAAGTCCTTATCACTTAAATCTTTGCGGCCATTCTTAGAATATGTCTTCTCATAACCAGGACCATTAGCGTAAGAAAGTATATTGTATGGTAAGTCATCTGCAGCGTTTTCACTATTCAAACCCAAAATATCGTCATCACGATCCTAAACACACAAATTAAAAAAAAATTAAGATTTGATTTAAAACTTCAATGTATAGAAACAAACCGGATAGCCACTAATAGTCATAGTATGTGAATGATCTGAAGTTACTACAATAAGAGTATCTTTCTCATTGGTCATACTAAGTGCTACCTCAACGGCCTTTGCAAACTCTTCAGTCTCTTCCATACTTCTTCTAGCGCGTGTATCATGATGTGCCATATCAATTTTCGCACCTTCAACGAATAAAAAGTAACCATCTTTGCTATGACTAAGCATTTCAATAGCAGCTTCAGTCATTTCGCTCAATGACGGTACTTCGTCTTCTAAACCCTCACGTTCCAAATCGCCATGATATGGACAATGTGATGAACTGAATAATCCCAATAAATAATCAACTTTAGACAAATCAGTTGCTAATAAATCCTGTTTGTGCCAAACATATTCACCACGAACATTACGTTCCTTCTTTTCCGTTAACCATTCTTCAATCAAATTTCGGCCATCTGTGCGACGTCCTTCTATATCAGACTCATCTAATTCAGTTTCGTTAATGAAATTACGACGTCCGCCACCCATTATAACGCGCAAATTGCGACCGACTTCCCACTCAACTAATTGACGTGCAATATCCACATTATCAGTGGGATCACATTCGTCTTCCATGATCTTAGCATCGTTTTCCCATTCACGGTTAGCAGTATGCGCATATACACCAGCTGGTGAAGCATGCGTTACACGCGCTGTTGTCACTAGACCAGTCCATTTGTTGGCATCTTGTGCCCATTTGGCAATACTTTCTGTGTGATACGACTCATCTTGTCCTAATTCACAGTCTCTACGTGTTACTTGCGCATTCACACCTATTGTACCGTAGTTGGCTTTTACAGCGCTCAGGTAAGCAGTAGAAGTTGAGGCAGAATCTGGCACCTGTTTATCAATGCAAAAGGTTTTTGAGAGACCAAAATAGGGAAACTCCTCAAATGACAGCTTATGTGAAGCATCATCTATATAAGATCTGGCTGCTGTAACAGTGTGTAATGACATGCCATCGCCTAAGAAGAGTATAATGTTTTTAGCACGATTTGTGTTGAAATGTGAAACTGCATCCAATTTATTGCTGATATATTCTTGTGCATTATCGAACCAATAATCACTATCCAATTCATCAGAATGAAATCGCTTTTTGGCCTTACTACTGGCTTTAAGATGTGGATGATCTGTAGAGCAAAACAAAATTTGAATTTTTATAATTAAATAATTAAATATTTGTTTTAAAAAAAAAAATGTTGGCATAAAAGAAATCAAATACACTTGCCTACACTTTTGGCACTGCATACAGAGATGAGACAGATTACCAAAAATCCCCAAATTATTTTTCTGCTAAGCATTTTCGTTAATTGAATTTCGCGTTTTGGATTCTAAGCGTACTGCCGTTAACTGGCAACCTCAGTGCTTAAGACGAGTACTACTACTACCGGTTCTACCCAAATGAGATCGTCTTTTATATGAATCGATGTGTTCACGTGAAGACGTACGAGTTCCCCTTAACAGTGATAATTGTTTTTGGTTTCATTACAATTCAGTTTTGATTTTTTATATGAAGATTAATTTTAATCTAATCATCGATTCTATTCAGAACGTTTCGATTTTGTCAAAGTACAATAAATTTCAATATAATGTATTTTAAGAATGTTACAAAAAATTTCAAATATTAAAAAAAAATTAAATCTGAAAAATTAATGCTGGTCGTATACGACTGCAAATATTATACATATTTGGTCATAAAAATTCAGTATGTGGAAACTTTACAAAAACCTTTTCATCCCAGATATTCCTCAATAACTCATTTCCTAACATTGTCATTCTCTCTACAGTTCGTAAAGACAACAAACGAACTAACAGACAACATTATTATAATAATTAAGTCAAGCATTGACTTCAAATTGAAGTACAATTAAGCTTTGTTCTTCAAAAATTTTACTAATTTATATATAACTATTGTAAATAAAGCAATTGTCACTAATAGCATTACTTATATATTTATCCTCTTTTTCAGATATTTAGGTTTGACTAAATATTAAATTAAAAGTAGTGCACTTACATCTTAGTAAACTTGAATTTTACTTACCTTCAATCTTCTGCATGCACGCATACATATATTTAACAAAACTTAAAGAATGAATACTGATATAAGGTGTGGTGTAAACGTGAGATAGAAATCACTTGACTTCACTCATTAAAGTGATTAAATCATAAATTAAAAATTTTTGTCAATACTAAATGGACTTTGTTTCTGCTGATATAATCTTCACACATTAACTTATGATGAAAATCACAAATTGGCTCACAAAATTTCCGATATTCAGTAATTCACGTGTAATATATAGTTAAGTATTTCATACAATAAATTTAAATAAACAAACAAATATAAAAACACACATCTGTAATGCAGAAAACAACATAGATGTTGTTGCAAATCATGCTTCAGTTAAATTTTTGTGTTATCAAAGTCAATGCCAATCTCAACTTAATGGGGTCTTAACTCAGTAATTTAATTACTTAAGTTAGTATGATTGTCTTATAATGTACATATATATATATATATATGTACTTAGTCTAATAAATAAAATAGAACTTATAACACTATTGAATAGGATACTTAAAATGAATATTTTATAGAATTGTTTCTAAAAGATATTTTCAATTTTAATATAAATACCTACGATATCGATTATTTTGATATGTTACCAATATAGCGTATCTGTTGTGAGATATGACTACTCTCATGAAATATTATATATATTTCATGTGAGATTTTTCAAATGATAGTTCAATCTTAAAATAAGTATCTGAGCTGTAGATATGTAAATAGTACACTTCTGTTGTGACAGACTTATACTATGTATTATGAGATATATGTTTTATAGGAAAGTTTGAAAAAATATTTTTATTCTTATAGTAAGTATAGTGTAAACAGTAACCGACTTATTATACAAGTTATTAATATTATATATGGATTATATTATATCTATTATATATCTTATAGAAAAGTGTTCAAACTCATACTGTTGTGTTAGAATTTTTAAATATAATATTAAGATCTTTACTATTCAAAATAACTATTCTATATTTAACAAAAAAAACTGACTTTACATACGATTCAAGTAGCTAATTACAGATTTTAACTACTCAATATATCTTATATACATATAAGATATTGGTTAACCATAAAGCATTTTTTAATAGTCATTGCCATTAATTTTAATTTATAATTTTATTTATTTTATGTTATATTTAATTGTATTTAAATTTATTATAGTCTGATAAACTGACCTCAAATGATAGCTTTTTTCGTGTGACATTTTTGCTCACGGATCCCAATATAAGCGATAAAAAACCAGTACTGCAATTACTAAACAATTTTTTTTAGAATATTCACGAGAATATCATGTGAACCTAATTCACCTGCACAAACGTCATCATATTTTAAAAGCTTAATCGATGGGTATCGAGTGCCATCATAAATTTCTTAGAGATTTAAAACACGTTACCGGTAAAAAATAATCAAAAGTGATCAAAACGCAAAACGCAAAAACAATTCTTAATAAAAATTTTTAATATATTTTTGAATCAAATGGCTTTCTTGCTACTTAATGTGTTCCCAGAAACACCAACACAAACAACAACACAATTAACAATAACAATAACAATAACAAAAACAAACAAATTATAAATCTTAAATGGGCTTTGAGCAACAACAACACCAACAACAGCAACAACAGCAAAAGCTACTGATCGTCAGTTATACACGTGAAAGACTTACGATTTCATTGACTGATCGCTACGCAAAACGTGTGCTAAATAAATTGTTGAGTTGAAAAGTTGGCCGAAAAGTACCTAAAAATAATCACAAAAACATTAATTAGAAATACAAAGTCATGAGCAGCAAAATTCGGGCAGTAATCTAATCAGTAGTCGAAAGCGGTCAGACGGGCCCAATTCGTATAAAAAGTGAGTACAAAGCTAATGCCGAGCAGTACAGTTCTGGAAAGGAGCAGAATGGCAACGCTAAAGATCGCGCTGTTAGTTTTGGCTGTAGCTGCGGTCACAGCAACTGCACTGCCTTCCATTAAGCAGCATAAGTCCAAGCAGAAAATGAATATGGAAGAGGAAATGCGTGAACAGGTGATGCATCCAAACATGCCACCAACCTCACGGTCCAAAAGCAACGAAGAAGCGACAAATGAATATTGGCTTGACAATGGCATTGATTTTGTGGAAGAAAAATTGGCCACAGCTGATAAGCCACAAACTGGGGTAGCTAAGAATATCATATTTTTACTGGGTGATGGCATGTCACTGACCACCATAGCAGCAACGCGTATCTACGAAGGTGGTGAAGAACTTAGTTTAGCTTTCGAAGAGTTTCCACATACTGGTTTGGCCAGAACTTATGCCATTGATCGTTTGGTGCCTGACTCTGCCTGCACTGCCACTGCTTATCTGTGCGGCGTTAAAGCAATGTACGGCACAATTGGTGTGAATGGACATGTCGAACGCGGTGATTGTGTTGCCACGAATAATGAAGAGCACTATGTTGATTCTATAGCCAAATGGGCGTTACAGCAAGGAAAATCTGTAGGCTTAGTAACAAACACAAGAGTTACACACGCTTCCCCGGCTGGGCTATACGCTCACACCAGTGAACGTGACTGGGAAAACGATAAGGCAGTGAAAGATGACTGCGGCAAAAACTCTGGTATTAAAGATATAGCACTCCAGCTAATGACTGGCGATGTGGGCAGTCAATTGCAAGTTATTTTGGGCGGTGGCAAAGCACAATTCATTGATAAGAGCTTCTATGAAAATGGCAAAAGACGCGATGGACGCAACTTAATTGAAGAATATTTAAGCGAACAGGGTAATGTGTATGTGGAAACGTTGAGGGAATTGGATGCAATAGATGCAACCAGCACTAAACGCTTGTTAGGCTTGTTCAATGATGGTCATATGGATTATAATCTGGAAGCTGACAGAGACCAGCCTACACTTGAAGAAATGACAGCCAAAGCTATTGAAGTGTTGGAACAAAATCCTAAAGGTTACTTTTTGTTTGTGGAAGGTGGAAAAATTGATAAAGCACATCATGCCAACAAGGCAAAATTAGCTTTAGATGAAACAGCTGAGTTCAGTAAAGCGGTAGCTACTGCACATGAATCAACAAACGAAAAAGATACATTAATTGTGGTGAGTGCTGATCACTCACATACCATGTCGGTCGCTGGTTATGCGGTAAGATTTTCGCTATAATGATTTCTAAGTCAAATGTGTTTATTAATATTGCAATTATTTTCAATAGCCACGCAGTGATGATATATTTGGTGTTGGTGCTATAGCAGAAGATGAGTTGCCGTATTTAGTATTAAGTTACGCTAATGGGCCCAGCTACAAGAAATTCTTCGATACAAAGAAAAATGTACGACTCGATCCTTCGACAGTGTTGAGTGGCGATATTGATGATGTTTTCCCCGCTACGGCGCCAATGGATTCTGAAACACATGGCGGTGAGGATGTGCCTGTATACGCAACAGGCCCTTGGTCACATTTATTCAGTGGTGTCTATGAGCAGAGCACCATTCCACACCTAATGGCTTACGCCGGTTGCCTTGGGCATGGGCAAAAAGCATGTGATAAATAATGTAACAAAAGTGTTAGAGCAAAGTATGCTCCTTTTTTCATAAAACAAAAGCGCTTTAATCTTATTTGATATTCTTAGTTTAATTCTTAGTTTAAATTTTCATTGTTAGTGATATACACGTAGTCAATAAATTGATTAAGTGAAGTTTGTAATAGTAGACTTTGCACTTTAATTACATTGTGTAGGGTATGGAACTCTCAGTTCAACACTTTATGACATTTATTATCCTTCGTATTATCCTATGTGCCGAACAATGCTTGTCATAACTCATTTACCAAAGTTGATTTAATTTCAGTGGTAGAATTGATAAAGTCACCAAAACCATTTCATCTATTGTAGTCATAGTATAGTATGCCTTTTACTGAAACTAATAAGGTTATAATATTCTGTTGCTAATGTCATGAAACTTTAGTGTCGTAGTGTTGTAGTGTCATATGTGGAATATTAATGACAGGAAATCCAATAAATTTTGGCCACCAACAATGCGTTTACCAACTAATGGACCTCTAGTATATTAAATTCTCATCCATAATTAAATGATCAATGCATGCCAATATTTATATTTGCAGAAATTTCAAAGTTTTTAACTAATTTGGTTGTTACTGGTTTGCATTTTGATTTAATAAAAGTTTAATGATTCACCACGTTTTTCATGCTGTTTATTAAAATGATTTATTAAGCGATGATGCATATATCCTGCGCAGCTAGGCTTATTTGGTTGCGGTTGGCAGGAGCAATTGATTTTATGCTGAACGCCACTCATGCAAAAATCCTTGCAGTAAAAAGTTTTATATTTTTTTAAATTAAGGCCTGTGTTATGCTATGTACATCCCCTGAATAATAAAAAAATTTAATGCTATATATATACATGCCTTCAATATTAATTAATATTTGATAGTGTTTCGAGTTAATGAAATGTCAATACAATAACAGATAAAAAATTTATATGAACTTATGAAAATAATTTATGTGATGTGAAATCTATTTAAATGCTCTGCAATGCAATATGTTTTTATTTTATGGAAGCCTTGATGAATAATTGGAAAATATTTAAAGAAAAACAACAATTTGCAATTAACTTCAATGGCTTTGTTTATAGAATGTTTTTTTTCGTCAATCAATAGTTAATAGAGAAATGTCATGGCTTCTTGATCAAATTAAGGTATTCCACTATGAATGTTTACGAACTAAAGAGCTTGATGAACATTTAAAACATGGGTTTCAAAGAATACAGATTTGAATTTATTGTATATTTTATATCTGGACCTTTGATAACAAAACGGTGATTACACACAAGAGAAGCCTGTAGTCAGTATTAAAATGTCAAGAAATGTGTAAAGTACTATTAGAAAAGCGTGCTTGGGGAACTTCTCATATATAGGTCCTTAAGAAAACCACGGTGGTTAATTTTATCTCCAAAATATATGAAAACAGAATGATACTTATGAGGCTTATTAGTTATAGAATAGAAAAAGCTTTAGCATTATAAAAATCAAATAACATCTTAAACTATTTGACAAGATATAAGAAAAATTTTTAAATATGACACATAAGAGTATATCTCATTGAATTTCTCAATGCAGAATGTATGGAAACATCCTAGCAAATAGGTGCTTAATCACTACATAGACAGGAGTGATTATTATGTCACTTAGAAAACCAAGTAACGGGTGATACTAATAGATATGATGAGCTTAACAAACATATAAATTGTAGATCTTAATAAAAAATAACAAATAGGTATGAATTTGTTAATATATTTGATCTTTTTTGTTTTTGTATTAACAAAACCCAACCGCTAATACTATCTAACAATACTATCTAAAAAAATAGCCTTGAGAAACATCTCAACTATAGATCTTAAAAGGATTTCACATACATTACGTTAATTATATTATTTACATTACATTACTTCTATTTATTTTATATTTATTTACTTTTATTTATTTTACATTTATTTTTTATTGAATAAATTTATTTATACATTTTATTATTAAAGTGAAATGAGTTAAAATCTGGATATATGATAACGAAATGGTGCTTATACATTGCTTGGACATAAAAGAAATCTCTCTTCAGGTATAAGACTTATGCTTATCCCCGTCATGAAATTTAAGACACAATACTTATATTCAGGTTTTTGATTCTCAGTAGATGATAGAAAATATTCCAGTGGAATGTGTGGAATAATTTCCAGCTTACCTTTCTTTATTTAAAGACAATTGTTGCTAAATCTTCTCCATTTAAATATGTAAATCCGAATTCATGCTTCACTACTTTCTGCAGTTGGTTTACGAAAGGAAAATGCGCTACGTAAGGAGGAGCACTGCAAAAGGAAATGCATTTTTCCAATGCATGTTTCGTTCCTCCTACACTTTGCGCACAGAAGGTCATCAACAACTGCAATCGTGTCTCATATTATAGTAAATCCTATAAATAAGACTCTACATTACCGTGTATCTGTATGTGAAAAATAAATATATTTAAATGAACGAGCACAAAAATTGAAACAACAACGGTCGATGCACGTCGATGCATTAAAGGATTTCCATAAAAAAGGATTAATATTGAAAGTGTTCGCTACTTTATTTCTATTCAATTAAATGAGAAAGTTCATTCAAGTAAATTGAGATGCTAAAATTAAGTTCTTTGAAACCAAAACTGTTTGAAAACAAAACGAAATGAAAATTGCTTATTTTCCACAAAAATGCACAAAATGTGAACAAAATCCTGTGGAAGTGAATATTTATTTAAAGTTCAGTCCAGCGATGGTTGCAAATGCTGAAGTTGCAAATGCCGAAATGCAAACTTTTGACAAAAGTTTATTTTCATGATTGTGACAAGTTTTGAACTCATGATAACTAGGCAACCAAATTTTCCAATTAGTAACTTTGCGAAGAAAAGCAACCAAAATTAGTTTGCAACAGATCGGAAATAAAGTCCTTCTCTCTTTTATTGGTTAAATTAAGTCCACTTGAATCTTGCAACTGCAAATGTATTTCAAAATATCTTCTGCTTTAATTGACTTTTATCATATTTTAGTATTATAGAATTAATAATTTTATTTAATTTTACTTTGCTTCATGACATCACAACGGCTTTTGAACTTTTGCATAATATTTTAAGCAATATTCACTTCTCGATTTTTGTAAATTACCTTTTAATATTGATTAATGATAGGCAGTTGATGTGGAAAGGCTGAACATAAATAAAACTCACCGCAAAAAGTTCAAGGCTAACACTGGATGCTGGATTTCTGGTTACTGGTTACAGTGGAAAGGACTTTATTAATGTTGCACAGAACCATTGTCGCCTGGCCCGGTAATTAATCACTGCAAGTAATTTGCATATTACCACAAGCTTTCATTTGCAAAGTGCGGCAAATGAAAGCAATCTAATGTAATTTTATCTATTTCACATAATTTGTTTATAATATAAAACTGCAAAAATATTAAATTTATAATTTAAATTAATAGAGAGTTAAAATGAGGTTAACACTAGCTATTAAGTTGACAATCTATTTCGGTATGATTTGTATTGAAATCTTTTGAAAAAGTAATGGACTTATTTGGCAATACCCTCGAAACAGCTGTATGGTCAGACAAAAAATCAATTAATATTAATAATATAAAATTAATTTTTGTTGTTGTAGTTCACTACTGTACTAAAAATCTCCTTATGTGTTAAAGGAATATAATATCATATTACTTTTCATTCTCATACCCAATTACAATACAAAAGAGCACAATATTAATAGCCTTTAATAGGACCAATAAATGTTCCGCGAGGACATCTATAGGTCTAACAACAATTTTTGGCATAAGCTTTGGAAAATTCCTTCCGTGGCTTAATGGTTTTGTAGGCTTCATTTCAAAAAGAAAGTGATCTGAAATAGAAACCTGAAAGGTGACGAAAAGATTTGTTAAATAGAACCTGATCGTTGTCTGTCTCGGATTGGAGTCATCACAGCGCATAACTCATGTGAACATCAAATTGCCAATATGGGTTTAATCACAGATTTAACATGACAATCAAGTCTCGAGAATGTGAATAACACTGAGCACTTCATCTGTTAATGCACGTATTTGCAAAGCCAAGATTGAAATTGTTGGGTCATGAAGACGCTTTTAACAATTACGAAGCATCTTTGTTAGCAAGTATAAAAGACTGTGGTAGTTAACAATAGCTCTCTCAAAGGTATTTAATTATATTGAAGTCATGATATAAGGTAGACAATGGCTGTGGATAGTAAATTAAGGTAGGATAAAGTGAAAAATATTTGTAAAATAAATATTTAATATAAAAATCTGAAATGAATCTCGAGAAAAACGTATTTATCAACTTATGCCATTCCAAAATTTTTTACTGTAAAAATGTTTATTTTCTTTACACATAAAGTAGTGGGGGAGAAAACCACTTTTCTTATTAGAAAAACAGTCGTTGAAGAGTGCAACAATCCGATTTTATAGAAAACTTTGTTGGCATATTGCAGTTTTTATAAATAATGAGTTTTTTCTCCTTGGCGATTATATGCACACCAATTCCTTCCATATCTGTGGTAGTATTTCAGAGTTCCAGATTTCTCCAAACAACGAATGGAACAGAATTTTTGGAAAAGAATGTGAAAGAGAACTATCATTAAAACTGATGTATTATTACACATTGAGGTTAATAATAATATGGTTTGCATTTCTTACTGCACAAATATTCTACAATAATCGTACTACAAGAACCCAGTACATAATAGTAAGTTTAGGTTAGGTCAAGTTATCGCGATGATCTTAAATATCTTTGAACACACAGCTTTATAGAGATTTATAGGAGTAGCTGTCATTTTTTATTAACTTTCTTCTTTACCAACTATGGTCTAAAGTTGGAGATTTCAACTGTTTTCCGTTACTATCAGATATTTAATATTAACAATTATTGAAGAGTTCAAAAATAATTTTTTTGTTGTGAGTATCCGGAATATTCACAAATTACAGTAGTAAGTTATAAGTACATAATTCATGTTAATCAATGCTAATATGTCTAATTAAAGTAGTTATTCATTTTCAACTACAAATATTAATAAATCACAATTTTTAATTTATTTCCATAATACTTTGCTTTTGATT